CACAATATTACGTATTTTCTAGTATAAATTGTCGTACTAATATTAATATTTGCCTTGAAAAAAATAAAAGTATTCATATATTAATAATATTTTTTTTGTCTGACCGTTTCGTATCCTTTCTCACGAGTCTATACAGTCATTTCCGAGAAGAGACATATGTGAAAACACTTTTATAATTTAATCAATCTTATAATATCTTATCCACCACGTTCCTATTGTTGACCTCCGCATGCTTTTGATATAAATGACTTACCTATTAGTTTTAGTCATAGTTAATATTTATTTTATATCACAATTGCGTATCTCGTACATATTTAATTTTATAGGTACGTAACAATATGAACGGAAAACAATAATTATGAAAATAAATGCTTTCATTACAAAAAAACAAAATTTGACCACTATAGGTAAATAAAAATTATAATAGTATACCTATACCAAAAGTTCAGAAAATCTGTTTAAAAAAAGAAATTTAAAAAAATCTACAAATGCTTGTTTATTGGTTTTTCGGGTAAGTGATTTTTATCAGGAGAAAAATAAAGTCAATAACTTATCTTACAGTTAATTAAGTACCTCCGAAGGCAAGTTCTCGAATATAATTGTACATAACAACCTATTGTAATAACTAATACAGTAATACGAGTACCAACGAAAGGGAGACTGGCCAGTTGCAGCTACTTAAATGTGTAATTGGTAATTTTTACCAATAAACGATGGTGGCTGGAGGAGAAGTACTTGCAGGGTGGTTCCTCCTCCGGTTCTCGATACTAACGGAAAAAAAAGTTAATTAAGTACCTATCATTATTATTATTATTTATTAATTTTTGAAAAATGTAGTATCTTTTACTTTGAAATAATTGTTAAATACTATAGACCTACATATAATAATACATTCGAAAATGAGCCGAATTTATCAAACTCAATATCGACAATATCCTAAAGTTGCGAGCTAGAACCAGAATCTTTTCATGTCCAATGCCCATGATTGTTTAAGATACTTTGTTAAAATAAGTTTAATTTATATTTTATTTCTTATACAATAACCTACATATTTAAGTAAAAAATAATTTTTTCAAAACATCATTAACCCATTTGGTAATAAGTAATGGTGAAAGATATAATAGATATTATGTAAATACTAATTATTAATCAAGGCTAAAATCAGGAATTTTAACTTTCAACATGATTTCTACTCAACTCACCTTTACTGAACATAAATAAAATATAATAGGTATATATAGTGCATTTATAAAAGTTATACATTTCCATTTCCATAATAAACAGTAAACACTTTATGTCGTGCACTCGTGCTGTAGTCATACGCACTGTTCTGCTAATGGCAGTAAGAGTAAGTTACTTCACACAAAACTATAGCASTGAATAATAAATAACATAACACGACAAATATCTAAATAGCTCTGTTTTCGTTTTATCATAATAGTAATAACAATAATAATAATAATATAATATTGATAATAAATTTAAARAATATGTAATACAAATTAATCGCACGCAGTATTGCACACGATCGGACACAGCAACGCGGTCATACCAAAACGTCCAGTCTGACCATTCACCCAATCCCTAATGTTGGAGTGCAATGCCCACAGAACATAACCGTCCTTGGCTGCATCCGTTGATTCGGTGGTCGCGTAATCAACGGACGTTATTTCCATGCATCCCGGGGACAGTCGACCGCCGCGTGGATGCTTATGGGCGGCGGCCGTCGCGTTTTTGATTAGAGCATCACTGGCGTTGTTGCAACTTTCGCACGGATCATCGTCGTCGTCGTTGCAACCATAATCTGTCCCGCATGCCGTGTCCTTCCCGCGTCCCATGTCCTTCCCATGTCCCTTGTCCTTCCCCCGTCCCCTTTCCTTGCCACGTCCCTGTTCCTTTCCACGTTCTTCGTCCTTACCACGTTCTGTGTCCTTCCCGCGCCCCATTTCCTTCCCACATCCWGTGTCTCTTCTGCATCTCGTRGCAAGTGGCAATCCGCAAACCTTGCAGGTGGAACTCGAACGACCACTGTGCTGGACACTCGCCACCGTCGTCACGTGGCCACGCACGACCAGGTTGAAGTATTCCGGGTGAAACTTTCGGCGGGCGTCCCAGACGTACAAGTCCGACCGGCGAATGGCCGCGGGATCTCGGAAATACCACTGCATACCGTACGCCGAATCAACCGGAACCAAAGGCCTACCGACACTTCCACCGCCACTGATCGGTTTCCGGCCCACGTTCATCACGCACTGGTTGCTGCCGGTCAACGGGCAACCGCTCAACTTCAAATCGAC